TCCAAATGAATGTGCATGTGTGGCACTGCAGACCTGCTTGTGGCCCTGTAAACTGCACATGCCACTCATGCAGGAATCCCCGTGCTGTTAATTTACAGCACGGTGACTTTTTTTGACACCAGGAAGTCCTGGTGTCAAAAACACCCACAGCAAAACAAAACAAAATGGGGCAGCGCATGTGGTGGCAGCATGTGCCACCTGAAACTAGAGCCTGGCTGGCCAGAGCCATGCACCCCCTAGCACTGTTTTCAGAATGGGAGCAGGGAAAGGGAATGGATGGAGCTTTTTCTGGGAGTTGCTGAGCCAGGTGGATGGATTGGAGCCTCCCCCCAACCTTGGGGAGGGGCTCCAATCCACTTGCCCCATCACCCAGCACTGGCTGAACCCCAGACAGACCTCCCTCTGCTCCCTTTCCCCCCTCCCATTCTGAAGAGAGTGCTGGAGCAGGGCCTAGCTGCTGTCAGATCAGCCCCATGTGCAGACCCAAGTTACTGAAGGTGCTCCATTTTGGAGTGTCTTCATCTGAACCCTCATGTGACTGGGTCCTTTTTAAAATGCTCTGCAGCCGTGCATTTTGTGCACTTTGCCAGATTGGGCGAAAATTATCAATCCTGTCTGTGCCTTTACAGTATATACTTTAGAAAGTTATATAGTCTTGATCTGAAGACTTCAAGCAATTGAGAATTTACACAAACACTTGGTCAGCAGTTGCTTTCACTCTCATTCCAAAAAAATGGTGCTTTTCCCAGTTGGAGTGTTTTTATCTTTAATCACTCAATAATTGGGCCTAGACATACCTCTGTTTGCAGGTTAAGGATTCCTCTATCAGAAATGACAGCATGCCACACTAACATGGCTATACTGCTTTCAGTATCTGAGCTAGCTTGTTCACAGCTCCCTGGGGTAAGCCTTTTTGGGTGCGTCTAGACGAGCGCACAATTGCCTCTTGCAGCATTGCAAAGCCCTTTGAGATGCTGCAAGAGGCACATGTGGGAACAGAAAAACATTCCTTGCCCCTGGATATCCGGGGTCAAACAATACCCCAGGGAAAAAAGATTGGGTCAGGGCACGGTCCTGGACCTTTTCTCCACCCCCTTAGAAAAGGTGGCAAGTGGGTGGTCACCCTGCCGACAACACTGGTGGCATCTGTGGGAGCTCTCTGCTTACCGCCGCTGCCACACTCTGGCCAGCGCCAGTACCGCCGTGCCCCCCCAGCCACCAGGGGCATGCGACATTCATGCAGGGGACCCAGCCCACCTAAGCATCCCCCATACCCCCAGTCCCTCCACACCTACCCACACACTGACTCACATCCCCCCATCCCCCTTCCCACCACCTCCTGCAAACGCCACATCCCCCCATCACACACCTACCATGTGATAAGGAAGCCAAAAGCAAACATTACAACATATAGATATTTAGCATTTATTTTATTATGAGGCTAGAGACTGGTAGGCTTCCAAATTTCTTTAACATTGTAAATATAACAATAAAATATTGCCAATCTGATCAGTCCCTCTCTCTCCTTCTCTGTCTTTTGTTCTAATTGTGGAAGAATATGGATTTTGGGGTATTTTAAAAAGTGAATTTGGGATGCTGCTTCAGCAGTCAGGCTGACACAGGGGGCTGGTGTCCCCAGATATCAAGTGACTGGACCTCAGAAGCTCCTGGGGGCAAGTAGCCCTGAGCTTCTGGCCAGGGCAGGTTTTTATACTGCTGGGAACAGCACAGCTGCTGCCTTGGGCTCTAGCTCCCCTTGGCCGCAGATCCGGGAGGAGCCAGGCAGGGTTATTTTGCCCCAAATGGCACAATTTGCTCCACAACAAAGTGCATGTCCGAACACATGCGCTGAGGCAAAAAGCCCTGGCTCAAATGTTCACCGCTTCTATTTCAGCTGCTGCAAGCGCACATGATTGCATGTGTGGATGTGCACTTCATGGCTCTCCCTTGTGCTTTCTTGACAGACCCAGTAACAGTTTCACCAGTGCCATATGCAGGGGTTGTACCACCCTCCTTGTTCACACTGTTTTCCTGGTATTAGCTCTTTTAAGCAGAAAATTACATTAGATAGACAAAGTCTTTTGGTTTGAGTTGATATCTTTTATCAACTTGGAGGTGGGTTGATGTTTCTAGCAAGCTTTCAGATAACACAGTATCCTTTTTCAAGCTAAATGGAGTGCAGAAGGGGGTGACACCCTGGTGTATACTGGAAAGCCCGTCAGTACTCTATGCAAGTGGATATAGTAGTTGAAATGCTCTGACACCAATCATACATTCTGCATGGGGGTGGGGGGAAGAATTTTTTTTTTGTGGGTTATGATATAGGTACTAGGTATGGTTCAGGTTTAGGCAGACTGTAGTGAACAAGATAGCTCATTTCTCTGTTCAGTCCATGATTTTTCATGTCCAGAGTGGTGATGAAGTTGAGTTCATTGGGCACGTCTTTTGAAGGTGTTTTGTAGATTTCTTTGAGGATAAAGACTAAAAGTTCTGACACAGAGTGGTCATTTGGGGAGCAATGTGCCCCTACGGGCAATTGTGGGTTTCTCCCTTTGATGGATTTCCTGCGTGCATTCATCAGTGACCACAGTCTATGCATATCTACTTGCATAGACTACTGACGGATTCCTAAGTATACACTGGGGAGTCACCTCCTTCTGCACTTCACTAGTTTGAAAAAGAATACTGTGTTATCTGAAAGCTTGCTAGAACCATCAACCCACCTCAAAGTTGGCCAAAAAAAGGTATCTTGCTGGGATCCTTGACCCTAGTTGACTTCCTACCCCTGGGGCAGGGGCCTGGACTTGATGATCTTCGAGGTCCCTTCCAGCCCTAACGTCTATGAAATCTATGAAACATGAACCAAAAGACGGTCTATCATATAGCCCCAGATCCATATGGCTGACCCCAAAAGAAAATTATATTAAGCATTCATATTCAGTTTGCAATCTCCAATGACCCTTGAATCATTTTCAAGTCAGCAATTTCCATGATACAGCCCCCCTTTCTGTAAGCATGGCTTCAGTTCTTTGCTCCTAGATATATGACCTTGCTATCAACTATACTGAATCAATTAAGTGAAATTAAGCAAAATTCTGTAGTAAAGACTGATCCAAACAAACCAGTTCTTTCACAGCTTGGATCTTTCAAGTAACTGATAATCAGATGTCATTTAAAATCTAGTAGGTGCAATTATTTTTTCAAGTGAATGTATTTTTCTTCTTGCTGATGATGCTGGTTCAATGAAAATATTTGGAAAGCCTAACCATTTTGATTAGAGTCCATTAAAATAATTTTGGGCAATTAGAAAATTTTAGGCCAATCCATGCAATTCCTTGAGGATGTTAAAAATATCAGCAACAATTTACTGCTACTGCATTGATGCAAATTGGCACAACGCTGTTTTAAAGCTTGCTAGCTCCAGAACGTAATGAAATAGCCTGAAATGCCTTGGAATGTGAAAAGAAATATAATTTGTTTCACTCCTATTTGTGATTTCCTCAACTTCGTTGCCTGAATAACCTTAGGAAACTTTAAAAATAGTTTTAAGAAATAGGAAACAGTTAATTTGTCATGATTGATATTATAAACTCTCAGCTAGAATGGAAAATCAGCTTGAAAGGAAATAATAGTGAGGGTGCTGCAGAGATATTTGGCTCAAAAACAGCTTCTGCAATACAAAATATAAATTGCACGTACAAACAAAAATCTGTGATTGCATGAGCCTCAAAATATTGTACCATGAATATGTGTAACAAAGAAATAAAAAACCTTCCTAGGTTTGTTTTAGCTTTTTAGAGGAGGCAAAACTTTATAACTTAACTATAACTCTGTGCAAACAGACATTATCTGCTGAAGAGCACTTGGTCTTGTTTTATTAAGACGACATGCCTATTTCTTAGCTGTTTGTACAAAGCAAGTCTTGCACACATGCTTTGCAGGCTATTTGCAAAAGGGGAACAACAAAATTGTTGCAAAAGCAGTGTGAAGGAAAAAAACCATAAAAATGAATGAAGATGAGGAAAAGATTGCCCTGCAGCAAGATGCTTAAAAGCAGCTCAGCCTCTGTGAAAAAGGTGATCATGTTGAGATTGGGTTACAATGTGTAAGAAACTTCAAGGGTAGGAAATACCAGGTAAGAAAGGGCTCTGAAATCTAACACAGAAAGGCATAGCAAGAAATAGTTGGAAATTAAAGCCAGGCAAGACTCAAATTTGAAATAAGGTACAGACATATTTGTTCTCAATGTGAGGGCAACTAATAATTTGAATTAATTACCTGTGCAAGGGGTGGATTCCCCATCTCATGACATCATTGAATCAAGACCAGATGACTTCTTGGGAAAGGTACTTTCCTAAGAACATTAATTACTGAGCACAATAGAAGAGTAATGATCTTCCTCTAAACAGTCCATAGAATTTCATTAGACCAGTGTTTCTTCACCAGTGGGTTATATGACTTCCTAATGGTCACAAAAGGCAATTAGGGGGTTGGAAGATGCTGAAAGTTTTATTATAATTCTAAAATAAAGGAAATATCCATGAAAACTTTAAGGGGCTACAAAGCTACATGCAAGCATAGCAGTTGCAGTAGTAGTACTTTGCCCTTTTCGGCTACACGTCCATGAACAGTGGCGTGCAATTCCTGTGGGGAGTAAAGCAGTGGCACACATTTGAGCAGCTGCTTTTTGCTCTGGCTCATGCCCCTGCACGTGGGGTTAGTGTGGAGAAAAATCTCCAGATGGGGTACAGAAGGCTGGGGCCTGGGGGCCTCCCAGGGCTCAAGCAGTGGCAATGTGAATGTGCAGAGCCTAGTCTACAGCCAGAAAATAGCTTTGGCCAGCTATGCTCTGGTTTTGCGCCGTGCATGCTGCTGCCAAGTACACTGCCCCACTTTTTTCCCCCCCATGTGTTTTTTTCATTTTCCAGTATCTAAATTAGGATCCATGCTGCAAATATGCAGCATGGAGAACCAAATCACATGCATGGAGTGCATTTTGCAGCATCTCAAAAGCCTTTGAGGCACCACAAAAATGCACATGCATGCTTATGTGGATGCAGCCTTCTTGTCTATGCAAGTAACCCTCCCTGATTCACTTCTTCAATCCCTGTATGGCTTTAAATTTCTCTGTAATGTAAGGCTCTCAAAACACATGTCTGCAAATAAATTATACAGGCCTAGCCTTAGTAGCATTGATACTAGATAGTAAAATATAGGGGACTGGAAACACCCTACTTCAAGTACTTCAAGAGGGGCCAACTTGAAAAGATGGAGAAATACTGAGGTAAGTGATCTGCTGGTTCTTTTAATTTCAAAGGGTGGATAGATGAGTATAATGCTAACCTGTGCACTGCCTAAGCTGTGTAACAGGAAATCCTGATTAGCAGAGAAAGATATTGAAAAGGCCCTGCTTCAAAAAGTTACTTGAGCATGTACCTGATTTTGAGCATGTGAATATGAGTAAAAGGTTTTGATGACACAAAAGAAAGAAAAAAAAGATCTCTCTTTGTGGACGTTACTGATGTTGGAAAAAAATAACAATTTTTCTTTAACTATAAGGTCTTACTGAAAAATTTCAGTGAGCTTTAATAACTTACTATTAAAATGTTGTAGAGTTTTACCCCAATATATTAATACTGCAGGAATGAGAAGAAAAAATGAACTTGTAGTTAAAGCACTGGACAAGAAAATGAGGTACAATTCCCAGTTCTGCAGATTTTCTGTGTAGCTTTGGTAAGTTATTCAAAATTTCTTTGTTCCTCAAACTCGCCCCATGAGTAAAATAAAGACAGTAAGATTTCCTTTTTCTCACCCTTTGTCTTATTAGATAGTAAGGATTTTGGTAAATCTCTCACTGTGTATTTGTAACTAATACAATGGGGGCCAGATCTCAAATGGGTTCTCCATGAGTTTCTGTAAAATAAATAACTGTACTAAATATTAGTTATGGAATACTAATAATATACAGTGGATTATTGTTAATTCCTACAAAAAATTACCTTCTCCCGCCTGTTCTCTGGAAAGACTTGGTTGCAGAGGCGCTAGTGAGCTGCTGTATTAAATCCCAATCCAATTCACAAGGAAATGTTTTAAATGCCATCAGTGGGAGTTGAAATGAGCCTTTATATTGCTTGAAACAGAAAGAAACCTGCGGAGCCCATGAGAATTCTTGTGGCAGAAGACACTGCAGGCTCTCTTTCTGCTCTTTTCCTATTTTCATTGATACCTACCTTTCATTAGCACACAGTGAGGAAAACTTCCCAATATTCTCAAAATAACTGTTTCTGAGCACAGCTGATTTGTTTTAATGTGTATAAAACAGAGATAATCCTTAGAGAACATACCTTTTTAAAATCAACAGCTTAAAAAAGTACATAATCCCAGTAAAAACCCAGCCTTGGGGCCAGCCCTGGTACAAGTTGCTGCAATTCCCAGCAAAAGTTTCTAGGTAAAACTCAATAGTGATATAAATAATAGTAGATTTTGTACATCAGCCCTTGGTTATTCAGCTGACCACAAATACCAAGTCGGAAGATAAATGCTGCCACACGGGGCAACTTTACCTCACTACCTCCTCCTTTGCTTGGTTGGAATAAAACATGTTAGTTTAATTGTGAGGCCTTTTTGGTTCTTGGTCTTAGATACCATAAGTACCTCTTGACAGCATATATACATGTTTTACATTTAATATTTTAAGATCTTTAAAGACTCTTCTCAGTCTTCCATTTTTACATGCAGTCCCCATTGTTCCTTAAATTTCTGGAGGTATATTTCTTGGTCCTCCGAGGGCTCATCAGATACCTGCCTCTCATACAGTCTGGACAAAAGCCCCTCTTTTGCTGGATCATCACACTTTTCATGTTCAAATATTTCTTCACAAGCATCATTTTCAAAATTGGACAAACTAGATATATAAAGTTTTCCAGTATGAGGATCCCAGTCTACTAATATAGTCTGTTCATATTCCTTTTTTACATCCTGTATCACCATTGGGTCCTGGGGGCCCTGGCTTATTGTACTTACGTGAGGAAATGATAATTGTCCTGATTTTTCAGTACCCAAGTTTAGCAACTTGGTTTCTGTCTCAGGGGACAGCTCCTCTGGTGTATTACATTTGAGTTCTTTTAATATCTGTACTGAACAAGTGTCTGTAGTCCTTTCATTAAGTTGGGGACAGTATGGCAGTTTTGTTTTATCAAGGTCCAAGTCCTCCAGTGTAATCTGGGGCTTATTTAGCAGTTCCCCTAGTGCAGAAGATTTCACTTTCACACTGTGATCCTCCAGTTTCTGCACAGAAAAGAGGTCAGCAGGCCTCACATCACATTCATATTCTATGACCTCTTCATTTCTTTGACCCAAAGTACAGTGGTTGCCAACTTGGCCTTGGCATGGCCAGTTCCCATCTTTTTTACAGTTGGGTAAAATTTTTACTCCTTCAGAAGAATCAACCAAGTGTTTCAAGAGTAACTCTTCCTTTGGAGGTTTATTATCAGGTCTGTTTTCATCATGGATGTTATAGTATATGCGGCTGCTCCTGTCTATTAAGTTAATGGTTTCCTGAGAAGCCTTGTTCTCATTCACAATATTAACGGTAATGAAGTTGACCACTATTTTTTCAGTTGGTACAAAAACATTTTCATTACATTTGTTAGTGTACTTCAATACCTGGAAAAAAAAAGACATTTGATTTAAAAAAAATGTAATTAAGATATTATCTAACTGCAATTTGCACTGCATCTATTTTTAAAATGTATGATTAGTTTTATTTTATTGTTAGAAGCTGGGTCTTCAGTTTGGGTTCCAGATGATTAAACTAGTTCTCTGTGCCTTCAATTCCCACTTCCTTCACATATTTTTTATTTTAGCAGGAGCAGGCCCATATAAGCTGCTACATTCTTCCTTCAAAAGCACCCCAAGACCAAGCATTGGTTAGAGCAGGTGAGCTAAAGTATGCTTTTGGTTATTCCACTGCACACTGGGATGACTTCTTGGAAGTTAACAGAGTAATCCTGCTATAACTGGCTGCGTCTATGTAGGTGCTTAACTGTGGAGTAGACTAATTAGCAGAGAGCCGACTTTTTCTGTTTGCCATGTAAAAATGTGGTAAAACTCAGATTTTCTCATTTTAAGGAGAAAAACTCAGAATTCTTCCTTTAAAGGAGAAAAATACGGAAAATGTTGGATTCCCCCTTGCAAGCTGGCAGAGTTCCACCAGCAAGGTGCTGGGGGGAGTGGGAAGAGGGCGGTCAGGCAGGGGGTGCTGCACATGGCCGCAGGGCAGCCTGGAGAGCAGCTCCTGCACATAAGTCTGGTGTGGGGAGGGAATGGAGGCCCCTATAGTGAGGGAGGGAGTTAAGCAGGGCTGGGGTTGCTGCCCAGCTGGGGTGGTGTGTGTGGCTTGGGGCTGGAGTGCGTGGCTGCATGGCCTGGTTTGGGAGTGAGACAGAGACACAGGTGGCTTATCTGGGGGATGAGGAGAAGGCTGGCTCCCTGCTGCTGTGCATACTCCTGGGGGAAGGAGGGGGAGAAATCAGGGCACATGCTCTGATGGGAGCAGCTCTGATTTTCCATGATAAAAACCCCAAAATCAAAGGCTGAAATGTCTAGGCATTTAGAATTTATTTTATTATAGTGACTGAGGCACTGGTAGGCTTCCAAATTGCTTTAAAATTGTAAATATAGCAATAAAACATTAGCTGATACCTATATATATAGTGGTATTTCATTTTAATCATGGAAAAATGCAGATTTGGGGTTTTCAATAAGAGACCTACTGAATTTTTTTTCAGAGACTTTGAAATTTTTAAACAGAGAAAACCAGGACCCCTGATAATTAGCTGAGGAGTAAAGAGTCACTGACTACACATGCAGTGGTATTAGGCCACAGTAAACTAATTAATGTTGCAGTAAGATAGTACTGTCAGGGAATTCCATTTACTGGAATTAAACACATGAATAGATGCTGACCACAAGCATAAATTGCACCTGGAGAGCCCAGCCAGCTTAGCCACAAGGCAATGCACTTTTGGCATCCTCATGCCCTGGCCAGCCCCTCTGCTGCCTGATGCTACCACCTGGAGCCTAGGCTGAGTGGCCCTGGTGTAAACTGCAACATCCTGGCTCAAATTGCTGCTGTATAGATGCTGCACCTGGCAGTAGTTTACTCTGGCTCAAACTGCTGTGGAGTTTATTGCTTTGAATTAATAGCACGTGTAGGTGTCACTACTGTACAGAATCTGGTCGAGACTGTTAAACCCAATAACTACTGTGCAGAATCTGGTCGAGACTGTTAAACCAATGGAAAAAGGAACTGTAACTTGAACTCAGACTCTTCTCCTCCCTGCCCCCCCAACCAATCCAAGAGCAGAATCATTTAGAAAACTACCATTTTAACGTGAAGTTCATGCAGACTTCAGTTATATCAGAGGAAGTTGTGGGTAAGTAGATAAAATATACAACAGACTGTCTATAGTACGGATTCTACAATTAGCCCTACTGCAGACTGTGTTGCTGACCCTTGGACTAACCACATTGCCTCTATATACTTTCATTTTTACACTTGTAAAATAGAGATCATAGCAGTTATCTACTCTGAAGAGAAGCTATTTGAGGCTCAATTTGCCCAGCAGTGCTTGAAAATGGATACGAAGTTTTCTGGTGGGTGGTGCTACAGAAGGCAAAGCTGGGAGCTGACTTTTTGTTGACACAAATTTGTAGCATTTTGATGATCATTTTAGCATAGTTGTTATCCAGAAGTTTTCAATAATGTTTTCCAATTCCAACCTAAGACATCTTGGTTATGCTTCCCAGTGCCCACAGACTGCCAATCATCTTGTAGACACGGGGAAATTAGACACATTTTCATTTGTTGTCTAAGCAAGGATGTGAATCAAAAGATGGACATGACATTGCAGCTTTTACAATGGAAATGAAAAAAATTAACAGTCCTAATGAAATAAAGAAGACAGATGAAATTAACAGAAGTAAGAATACAACAGATTCAATGTGCTTGGTGGCAGATGGGGCACAATGGATGAGAAGATGAATCTTTTACAGGGTAATCTAGTGACCGGGGGAGGGACTGGAATAGCTGTATTCCAAAGGCAGCACAGTAACTGCTGTCCACCTCCTTCTGCATCTTCTAGAGCAGTGGTCTCCAAACGTTTTTGATCACACACCCCATCAGTAAAAAATTTTTGAGCATGCGCCCCCAATATATGTATATTTATATAAATATACATCTAAATAGAAGTTCTAATATTTTCTTCCTGCACCTCAATGGATTGTCTTGTGCACCCCCTGGGGTGTACACACCCCACTTTGGAAACCACTGATCTAGAGGAATGAATCTACATGAATTCCTGTGAGATGCTGCATGCTCCACTACCACACCTGCAACAGGCTGGCATTTTTTAAGAGAGAACCAGGCAATGACAACATTCCCTGGCATGCAGAGTGGGCTAATGTCACAATCAAGTCTATAGTATTTATTTATATTTGTATGATGGCACAAACGTGTTTGAGCAACCAGCCAAGAGAGATTTTTGGATAGTTTGTTTTTAATCACTTATAAAGCAAAAATGACACCTCACCCTTCTCTGATTCTTTTAAAAGTTTATCTTGAAAAACCTTAAACTAAAATCAGGAAGGCAAATGTATAACTATTTCTACGCTGAAAACATATTTGAATAGTATGGCACACTTTGGTAAAATAATATTGCACAGTATTCAAAAATCTACAAGAATCCAAAACTGAATAATCTGCCCAGCTCAGGTATGTGATATTCTTCAGAAACATAATTAAAAAGCAAAGTAGACTTGTACCTTGTAAAAGGCCACCAGAACTTCAATATCCATTTTGGTTGAGAGATTTTGCATCACTTAATTATCTCTCCTTTTAGTGATGGATGAATTCAATTAACAATTTTCACTCACTGAATCCTTTCCAATGCTTCTTCATAGGTAAATGTAGAAAGGATGAGCCAACTTCCTAATGGCATTTGCCTCAGTGCACCTGAGACCTTGCTTATGGCAACGCCCCTTTCCAAGACTAAGGGAATTATTTCATTTTGATGTTTATTCTTTTTGGGTATAATTTTAGGGAAGAATACCAGATAGTCATGCTTAACAGGTACAGTTGTTGATCTTAGTCTTCTGTATTTGTCATTTTTAATATTCCTTGTGTGATGTTCTTTTCTTGATTTAAGTAGGATTTTATCTTGAAATACAAAACCTGCAGGCAGGCTACAAAGTGTCCCCCACCCCCTGTTCCCTCCTCCCAGAGCTGCAGTAGAGTAGCATGGTCCTGATTAACTGCATTGTAAAATGGCAGGAGTAGGACCCCAGTAAGAAATGAAAAGTGCTTACCAGGTTTGCTGGGTGCTTTTGTTTGCTGACATGAATATACCTGTGTACAACATAGTATGTCATTGAGAGAACGAAGGCTGTCAGAAAGATGGGCAGGATATATCCAAATACAACTGTTATGGCATGTTCTGCATTTGGGTCTGTTAATAAAACAACAGATTGCATTATGTAGCTTATTTATAAATCTCTTCATTAGTCACAGGTACCCACTGCATTTGCTTTGAATGTGCAATCTGAATGTGCTGGATCTATGATTCCTAGCATTTGCTGGGGATTAAAAAGGTGACATTCTGTAGTCCATCAAGAAATTAAAAAAAAAAGCAAACTAAAAAAACCCTCAAAAACTCCACAGAGCCACTAGGACTGTACTGAGATTTTTGTGCGGCTCAGGGTGCCCAGGGGAAACAGTCTGCTGTCAGTCATTTCAAGTGAGCCTCAGTCAGTAGGGCCAGGGCTATTCTGCAGGCAAGGAAAAAACATTTGGGGATTTTCATTAGCTGCAAAATGGATTAAAATCCTGTGGGAAAGAAAGAGAGGAAGAGATTATTTTCGTTTTCCAGTCCAAAGAAAAGTGTTCCTTTCCTTTGACATCCCAAGAAATTATTTGCTGGTACCCTGTCCTAGAGATGTCCTTGTTTGGCAAGATATCCAGGTGTAACAGTTTCAAACTTAAATCTAAATTCCATTCCCTGAATATTATGCTGAATGGTACATACCTTTCAGAGTCGCAATGCAACTTTCTTCTGAAAATCCACTAAACAAACGTGGTATTGGAACATGTGTCTGCACGCTGATGCAGTAAACTGTATTGGATTCTAACCTGGGCACAATCAATGTGTTGTTCTTAATGGAAAACCACCACTAAAAGAAAGAAAATGATATTTTCCATTTAGTTCTTAAAGTGACAAGGGATTTTATATTTTAAAAGATATAAAGGCTAGCCATCTTGGCTGGAGAGACATTCTAACCATTACCACAAGCCACTTCAAAAATGTAAATTATTTCCATTTGTCTGAATGTAACCAAAAACAGCATTTGTTACTAGATCAAATCCTCTATTGATATTTTCTCCTCTCTTCAAGATGGTATACCAGAACAGTAGTATTAGTAATAGTTTATTTACAGCTTTTGCCAAAACAATACAGTAAAATGAATAAAAATTAAATGCAATAAAATAATAACATTTATTACTATATAATTTTTGCTAAAAACATACAGTAAGATAATCCATTCTACCAGTTTACACAAAATTAAAACAGAACACAGTGCATGATGAAATGAATGAGTACACAACAAAACAGGAAACCGCTATCTGATTTTGGCCCTTATCTTTTGAGCAACAGTATTAGGCCACAGTGAACTAATTAATGCCATAGTAAAATAGACAGTACTGTCCTATGCCAGAGTAATTTACTGTAACTAAACCTACACATAGTTGCTGACTGTGGACAGCCCAGCCAAATTGCACCTGGACAGCCCAGCCAGCTTAGCCACAAGGAAATGCACTTTCAGCGTCCTCGTGCCCTGGCCAGCTCCTCTGCTGCCTGACACCACCACCTGGAGCCCCAGGCGGAGTGGCCCTGGTGTAAACCAGTGCTCTCCAAAGTGGGGTGCGCGCACCCCAGGGGGTGCTCAAGATGACCCATTGGGGTGCGCGAAGAAAATATTAGAACTTGTATTTTTATTTATTTTTTATCTAAAAAAATAAGAAAGAAATTAAGCTTTACTAATATTTAACATACAGATTGACACTGGCGCCCTCACTCAGTCTGTATGTCGGATGGTCATGTGTCACGTACGATACGTGAGGTATCCTGAGGGAGGAAGCGTCCGTTCGCTTTCAGCGCATTGCAACGTATTGCAGTTTACATGTGCCCGGTTAAGTGGATTTACGAATTATATTATCTAGTTTTAACTAAACTAACCCTCACAAAATGGACAAGTGGCTTAAAACAATTCCTGCAAAGAAACTGTGTATTGAAGATAATACTAATAATGCGAGCACAAGCAAACAGCAAGAAAATGGCAGAGCTGACACTTCTCCTACTCCTAGTATGAGCTCTTCGTCAGCCACATTACAAGGTAAAAACAATGACGATCTAATTTGGATCTACGTATCTTTGTGAGGTATCTTTTTCAGCTATGACAGCCGTTAAAACCAAGTATTGAAATAAACTGAACTTAGAACCAGACCTTCGAATCGCTGTATCACAAAGTGTTAAACCAAGATTTTCAAAAATAATGAAGCATATTCAATTACATTGCTCTCACTAAAAAAATATAATTATTACTACTAATATTATTTTTAGTGAGAGCAAAAAGTTTTTTGTATCGTTAATAAATAAAATATATTTTAAAAATATTGTTTATTTCATCTTTATCTCATCCTTTTTTCATTTCTATTTTTTGTCTATGTTTTATAATGTACCTAATATATTAGTACAGTAGTACAAGTATATAATTTATAAATAAATAAATATACATATATTGGGGTGCATGCTCAAAACTTTTTTTTAATTGATAAAAAAAAGTGATCAAAAAAGTTTGGAGACCACTGGTGTAAACTGCACCACCCGGGCTTAAATTGCTGTTGTATAGATGATGCACCTGCGAGTAGTTTACTCCAGCTCAAACTCCTCTGAAGTTTATTGCTTTGAATTAATAGCACATGTAGATGCACCCAAGAACTACTGTACAGAATCTGGTTGAGACAATTAAACCAATGGAAAAAGAAGCTGTAACTTGAACTCAGTCTTCTCCTCCCTGCCCCCCCAACCAATCCAAAGGCAGAATCATTTAGAAAACTACCATTTTAAGGTGAAGTTCATGCAGACTTCAGTAATATCAGAGGAAGTTGTGGGTAAGTAGATAAAATATGCAACAGACTGTCTACAGTACGGATTCTACAATTAGCTCTACTGCAGATGGTGTTGCTGACCCTTGGACTAACCACGCTGCCTCTATGTACTTTTATTTTTACACTTGTAAAATAGAGATCATAGCAGTTATCTACTCTGAAGAGTATTTATTTGAGTCTCAATTTGCCCAGCAGTGTTTGAAAATGGATACAAACACCATTTGGGCCTTATTGTTTTGAGCAAGTAAGGAATATTAACCTAAGGAGTAAAGAACAAGCTCCAAAATGTTAGAAGCCAATTTGTTTTTTTTCTTCTTTAGCCCAGTATTTTAAGTTTCCTATTAATAGTGAGATCCATTTTTTTCTTATTTCTTCAAATAACAAACAAGACCACAAACAGTGATTTAAGTCATCTATCTTCTTCCCACAAGAGTATATTCTGTCTGACACCATCTACCCATGACAACTGCAGATCTTGTTAGAATAAATTTCAATCTTGTGAGAGATTGATCTCTCATTGTTTGTAGTTTTGCACCACAAGAAAGCTGCTAGGCCAAATGGCTGAGTCCAGATGAGCATGGCCATGTGGCCACACACTGCTCATTCAGGTGTTTTCCTGCATTCCTACCTTCCAGCATGGGGCAGTTTTTTGACCCCAGGAGATCCCAGGGTCAAAAAAAACCTGTGCAGAAAAAAAGTAGGGCGGTGCATGTGGTGGCAATGCATGCTGCCCAAAACTGGAATGCTCCAGCTGCCTGCTAGGCTCCCTGCTGCAGGAGTGCAGTGGCTGCAGCTCCCCAAGGCCTCCACACCCCAGGTAAAGCTGTTGGGGCCAGCACAGTTGCTGGCTCCAGCCTTTCCTACCTCATCCAGGCTGCTGCATGCCAGAGAGCACACAGCATGGGTATTCCCAGGGAAACAAACGTCCATGCTCATGTAGATGCAGCCCATGAATACCTGAATAATCTTTAAAAATGCTAAATTCAAGACAGTCTCACTGCCAGTATATCTGTCTGCATGATGTCATCTTTAATTTTTAAACTGATGTCTTGTTTATATAGGGGAAATATTGGGTCAGTGACTCTCAGTACATTTCCCAGGTCATTATCTGAAGGAGAATATAGATGTTACTTAACCATAATACCAGGGTTTCTTTGACAAAAGAAAGGCTGCTAGAATACACTTCTTAGGGTATCTGATAGATGTAAAAGATCAAAGAGTAGTTGAAATTTCTTAACTGAGCTAAAGCACTCACATTTATCAATCCAATTTCAGAGCTGGATATAAGGCTCTCCACACCTCCCCTTCCCACCTGTAGAATTAGGCAGAGATAAAAGCTGCCTTAAAAAGTAGTTTGAAATCTTTTCAGTTTTGGGGTTGACTATAGGGCCAGCACCCCACAATTCTGCTCCATACAGTAACATGGACTCTACCTTGGATCTATAGATCTTTAGCCTTCCAGAACCGCTTTTCTGCCCTTCTTATTGTAAGAAGGTAAAACTCCACCCAAAGCTTGTTTTGCTCCACTATTTATATTTTCAGTGTGCTTATTCCAGCTCAGATATTTATTCAAATAGATTCAGAGGTTTTTAAAAGAAGGCACCACCTCTATCTTCTTTTCTATAAAAACCAAACTTGTTTCTCGCTTTCATTCCCCAAAACCAGTAACTTAGTTTTAGCTGCATTCAGTTCCAAGCTGCATGAGGTGCAATAGTGCTGAAAAAGCACTTAATAACTTTTGGAGGTCTATTTGTGATTATGACATTATTAACACGCCACTGGCATCAAGCAAAACAGGGTTAGAATAATTAAAAATCATGGGTTCATAGAACTGATTCTCTATTAGTGTTTGGTTTTAGATCGTTCAAAAGTAGCAAAGAAAGAAACATCCTCATCATACTCCTCTCTTAGTTGGGAAGCTATTGGACAGGACACCACCAACCCTGTAGCACACCCTAGATCAGGGATGGGTAAAATGGCAGATCTGGCTGGCGGCCACACTCCATTTCCCAGCAGCCCCAGCCTGTGTCCCTGAGGCCGGTTTCCATACAGGCCCCAAGAAGGGCAGCACTGTGACAGTGCAGGGCCAAGGTTTCCCATGGAGGCTGGTCCTAGCAGCAGTAGTAGGGCATGCAGCTAAGTGGGGAGCTGCTTTGGGGCTGGGGCTGGGATCCTGCAGTGGTGACAACATGGTCCAGAGCCAGTGCAGAGCCATAAACCACTGCCTGCATGTTCTTGCCCAGGGTGTGCAGGCAGCAGATCGCAGCTTTGCCGCAGCTCCAGACCACGCTGTCACCGCTGCAAGATCCAGGTCCCAGAGCAGCTCCCTGCCCAGCCAGCACTGCTAGCATGGAAAACCTGGCCCCACCCTGTCAAGGCACCTGGTCCTGGGGTCTCTATGGAAACCAGCCACACTGATGCAGGCAGAGGCTGCTGGGAAATGGAGTCCATTGCAGGCCCAATCCAGCCACACTTTACCCACCCCTGCCCTAGATGCTGTATTTGAATCATAAGTAATGATTAATTACAAGAGAGTTTTCTGCATTAATGTTATTTCCAGTTTCTTCCATAATTTTAATCTGTCTATGGAGTCAAAAAGCTCTCTTGAGATCTATGAAGGCTACATACAAATGATTATGTCTTTTTACTATTCACTATTCCTAAATAATGCAACACCGAGCAATAGTTTGTGCATGAATAGCTTCCTCTAAAACCAGCCTGCTCCACTCCCAAAATATTATTTTTAGAAATCCAGGTCTAAAGATGGAAAAGTAAATGTCCCCCAAGTATTATGGCAGGAATACATTTGGCTGTGCTGACCTACTAATATCAATATTGATTAAGGATCTCTCTTATCATCTCTTTTATCACCATTTTTAAAAAATTGGGACTATTATATTTTCATTGCAATGCTTTCTAAAATAATTATATTAAATTTTTTGGTCAAAACTGGACACTACCAGTCAATATATTCCTTGAAGATTTCTGGGGAAAGAAAATCAAG